GAGGCGTCTACGTGTAAACAAAGGTAAAAGGTATAAAGTGATGGTTTTGGGTGTTTTTTTTCCTCATTTTTCCAATGAAAAAATTAGGGTGGGGCTGTCAGAATAGGGTAGGTAGGGAAACCGGAAGCAGAAGTATTTTTTGGGGGGGGGGGGGCCTAAGTAAACTTGATTATAAATAAAAAGTGAAGTACTGTGAATGTACATTGGTGAAGACAGAGTTTAGCTACTACATGCAAGTACATGCAGAAGGTTTAAGCAACTCAAACATGCTTTAACAAAGACATGCATTGTAAACTTTAGCATGTGACATGAAAATAGAAAATGTACACAGTTATTGAAACAATTTCCCTTTTCATAACATCTAAATTAATTGTAGGTTTTCTAGAATTAAACATTTGCAATGAAAACTAGAGGTCTACGTCCGTTTAATGAACAGAACATAGGGCTTTTCTGCAATATGCTTTTTTTTTTAATCAATAACACGTCCCTGATTATGTACATGTATGTACAACATTTCAACCCAATCGGACCACAACTATGCTGAAAAGCCAACAACAGTTTCACTCTTTGTACAAATTATGCACAAATGTCTGTACGTGCATAACTCTTGTGTAGAAACCAGCTGGAGCATAGATCAGCTGATGGGGTTATGATACACAAACCAGTTTTATACATGTACTGGAAATATGGTACATGTGTACATGTCCATGTGCAAGTACGTACATGTGTACATGTACATAACATGCATGGAGATTACAAGTCAAAGGAGATTACCAGTCAAGCAGGTGTCTGAACCAGCTGCTGTTGACCTACATGTGCGTGTGTCATGCCTCTATACAAACCAAGGGAAATACCTACTGATCCTTTTCTCATCAAAATATGTACTTGTTTTCACTGTACCCCATGTAGCATAATCGCAGCAACTTTCTGGTACGGTACATGTGTTCAAGTCCACAGCAAGTATGGTCACATACTGGTGTCTACTAAAGTTAGATTTAAACCTTCTTGTGACACAAAGTGCAAGAAAATGGTTTCTCACCCAATTCACCACAAGTGCATGAATAGCACACAATGACTGATCAGAGAGTTCCAACCCATTTTGTCATAATGACAGCTCACCACACCCAGTCATTACGAATCCAGCATGTTATCCAATCATTGTGCAGGGCACTGCCACACTGATGGATAGTTCCTGCCCAGATATTCATCATGACAGCTCCTTGTCTGCATGCAATTTAGTCCTCAATCCTGCAGCAGTGCCACCCAATATACATTCCAGCGAAACAATCATACATATTGAACTCCCCCCCCCCCCCGAAAGAAAAGAGAGTCCAATCATGTAGTTCTTTTTCACAAATTCTCTATTTTCATTAGTTCAACTCATGTCCAAATAATGTGGCTGTTCAAAAGAATTCCACCAATGGCCTTACCTACATGTACCTGTATGAGAAGTTTTAAATAACATTGTTTAACTTTTTTGAGTCACTAAAAATCATCATGAGGATTTGTTTCTGACTGGGAATATATTTGATAGAAATCCCCCCCCCCCATTTTTTTTATTCCTCTCTTATACTAAACCTTGCATCAAATATGTAATTGTCACATCTTAACCTTCAATATATAGCAAATAATTGACAAAAAAGTCTCCGGTTTCTGGTCTGCGCACGAATCGCCATAGCCATGTGCACTGTCGATGTCGCTGTATGGTCTGACATTTACGTTTCTCTGATTTTGGTATTGACTATCCAAATTTCCCGAAGAATGTTGTTCGTGTCAATCGAGATCATAAGTGGGTGCAGAATTCTAAAGCCTTATGGCCTTACTGAGGTCACCTCAAGCTCCACTCTGAAGGGTATTTTTGAAAGTTTTAAGGGGGTCGAAGCGTCAGCTGCTATATCAGCTGACATTTAAAGAAAAAAAAGTAGGGGGAAAAAAAACCCCGCGTCAACGCACCACTTTTGGGGCAAGCTCCATACCAGAAACCGAAGATATTTTTTTGGGCTATATACCGGTATGTCGTTGCCCTCATATTATTTTTTTGAATGATTAAATCATAAATTTACAGTTCTAAACTTTACAAGCTCCCCAATGATTTCATATTATGCTCTACATGTAATGCGCCTATCAAATGTTTACAGAAAACAGAAAACAACAAATAAATCGTGGAATAAATTATCAGTTAAATGTTTTCGTTGTGATTGTCTTGATAGTGCGAATCTAACTGGAGGATGACTTTTAAGTGCCTCACTGGTCACTGTTTGCATGACTGCCAGGCTCAGCTTCATGTGAGCTTCCAGTGAAATCGGATAACTGTTATTCTAAAAGTCCTCAGTTGGAGTCAAGTTATCATCTGGAAACCATTAACCTTTAACTCACCACTGTGACCTTGACCTTTGACCTTTTTACCCCAAAACCAATCCCAACTTGCCTACTCAAGGGCAACCCCCTACGAAGTTAGACACCAAAATCTCATTTCCAACTCAAGTTATCATCCAGAAACCGTTAACCATTAACTCACCATGGTGACCTTGACCTTTGACCCCCAAACCAATCCCAACTTGCTAATCACAAGGGCAACCCCCTACCGAAGTTACAATCCCAAACAACATTTTCTAACTCAAGTTATCATCCGGAAGCTACATGTAAGCTGCCCTGACGGATGGACAGACGTAACCTGCGGGTCTACGGTCATACGGTTGTACAGAATTTAGGACTGGTAAGTGTCTCCCAAAACTTTGTTACGGCGACACAGAAATTGGATAACTGGATTTTGAAATCTCTTGCTATTAAAACTAAGCCATGTGAAGGAAAATATTGCAACTGATTGTCATTCGGATAATGTTTGAACTAACTTATTCAGAGATGCCACAGGGTCTGCTTGAAAAAAAAACGGAACTGGGTCTGCTTGAAAAAAACGGAACGGCTGCTTGAAAAAACGGAACTTTTGTGTGTGTGAAAAAGCCACTTTGTGTCCGACACAAAGTCCCCATTGTCATCTTTATCTTGTAGCCAAGCCAAGTTCTGTTTATTTTTTAATTTTGCTTCTATGGCCTTTAAAGCTGTCGGTTCGTTCAATCACTGACTTTGTCCATATTCCTAATATTTATTGTGCCTACCCGAATTTCCAACGTAATATTCGACACGAAACGTGCATGATTCCACAACACTGCTGTCGGTGTACATGATCCTTGCACTACGCGATGCGCTCAACGTAAACATGGTTGGTACCCGCATTTTTTGTATTCACATGTATCACTGCGATCGGAAACCACCGATAGCTGAAATGATAGACTTGATTTCCAGGCTGAATGCTACGTGTGCTTAGCACACAACACGCCCGCACGCGGAGAAGCACGCGCGAGGCGCCATTGTATACTGCGTGCAAGTACGTTGGCCGCTTGTATCGCATGCAGGCTCGGCAACAACATACACAAAGACTGTTTTTAAGACTACCTCAATAAACAATGTTGTGCCATGCGTGCGCCTAAATGTACTAAATCGAGGTAAAAAATCAACGCATTTCCACAGTTTTTCTTCTCTTTTTTCTGGTTAATTTGACGGCCGGAAAAACCGGAATTTTGTGAGATTTTTTTTAAAAACCGGAATTCCTGTTAAAACCGGAAAAGTGGCATCTCTGCTTATTAAATTCATTCATTATTCCAAATCAAAAGTTCCTTTCCTCATTTATTTTTGATCAAGCTTAATACTGGGCCATTATCCAACACCATGTATCTACATGTACATCAAAATATCTTTGCCCTTTCAAATTCCTGATCCAACATACATGCAGAAGAAATTCCAGGTACATAGTACTGCGATACAAATACAAATATGCCATGGCCCATGCAATGTCATTTTTTTAAATGCAATTGTTGGAGATTCACCTTTTTGTCCCATTTAACCTTTTTTTCAATTTTCATTTGGCCATTTTCAAGGGTATTTTTGTGCCTTTTTGAGCAAAAGTGTGATTTTCAGGCAGAAACCTCCATGTTACAGCTACCGGTATTTCAGCACCAAACGTTGCCAGAATTTTGGATATTTGGATGTCGTAAGTTTTCTTTTCTTTTGTGATTCGTGTTGTGTCAATACATGGCAGTAAGCCAATGAGCAAACTTTTCTCACAAATATTTTCAATAAGCAAATGAACAAATGAACAGTAAACCCCTAAACTGAACAGTGTCTTCCTGAAATGACATCACAACAACAGCACCCTCAGTTGTCTGGAAAAGCATGGAAGATTTTACATGTGTAAATGTTTAAAGAAGTGCACTTTTCCATAAAATTAACAATGGATGTCAATATTATTCATACATTTAAGAGGAGTGGACAGTTGCTTAAAATATGTTCCTAAGAAAAATTCACTTCATGGACCCTTTCAATTGTAACCAAATTTGATGTGTATGTTAATTTCTGCTATGAATATGGTCCATGACTCTACATTGAACATACCGGTACATATTAGGCTCTGTCTACATGTGTATGTAAACATTCTTTTTCAAAGAAAACCTCAAAGCCCATTGGCCCAATAACTGCCTGTATGCTTGGCAAACACTTAGTACATGACGTATTTCTCCATGTTTCAAATGAAAGGAAAGTGCGATAATTTTGTTTTTTTTCATTGTCACCCTCTCTGATCTTTTGGTGGAAAATGTATCACTGATTAAAACAAAAAACTGTATCATTTTACAACATATCAGAATGTATTCAAGAACTGTTCTCTATTAATTATATAGATTATTTTTGGTTTTGGTTTTTCGTCCATTTTGTGTAAAGTGCTGTGGTACTTTCTTTGACAGTTAGAGCGCTATGTTCTGTATTATCATTATTTGTTATTTATTAATGAAATCCACTTACTGATCAATCCTTGCTTGCTCATTGTTGCATGGCATGTGGATATACAAATGTGCAGTATGATACCTGACCCCTTCACACAATGAACAAAAGACTTGTATTGTCTTATACTACATGTACATCTTAAAAACAAGAACCAACTGACTTACCGCTACATGTGCATTAGGTGTAAGGTTAGATTCTCTGGACATAGATGGGTATGGCATTGAGTACGGGTCCTTGGATTTACCTGCGTGAGAACAATATTGAATTAAAGAGTATAACAAAATGTGTAATTTAACAGCCTTGGATGTAAATTTTACTCATAAAGTTGTGCTAACCATGAGGGAGTTCAGAGACCATTTTAACATTGCTTAAAATACTGGTTGATCTAGATATGGTGTAACTTGTTTGCTAAATTGGTGTCTGAACAGTTTGAAGGGTACACTGAATCAAGTTCAACTTGCCGCTGAAGCAGTAAGTTCAAACACAACAAAGGAAGGGTTTAGTTCACACATTTTGTTCTCCTTAGACTGAGTGATGTCTGAACAGTTAAACTTAAATTAAATTCCCACCTATTTGACCCAGCGCTTACATAATGCTTTCTGTTAGCGCACTTTGCTCTTGCACAAATACTCTGAACTTAATCATAATGTACATGTATGACATACAATAAAATCAATGTTGATCTCAGTGAAGTTTGCAAATTTCAAATTTGAGAGAAAGAAAAACTTGTTAAAATGTTCAATTTCCTCAGCACATCATGCATCCAAATATTGGACGCAGGAATGTTGTCATCAAACAGCTGGCATGCTACATTGTGGTGCGGCCATCCACTGGTTGGATTCCTTCCACAAAAATGGGTAAATGTACTACTCTCTTTAATGTCTTAATCTTTCAGTCCCCGTACTGAAAGAAAAGTTCATCTTGTAGGATGTAAATTATGCACTTTTTATTTGTCATTCCAGACCAGGGTAACATTATTGCAAAATTATGGTGGGGGAGGGGGGTATAATTCATGGTTGGTTCAATAATTTTTGAAGCCACATCATGGTGTTTGAGGCTTACCTTACGACCCTTAGTACTGCAGATACATGTATGTGAACAAGCGCGAGTGCACCATAAGCTCTGGCCCAGTTCCTGAATGTCTCAATTCATATGCAAAATAGACGCGCATGCACATCAATCGAGACAAAGGGGCGTGTTCCGAAAACTTTCGCCAAGAGTGCATTTACTGACGACAGCATTGTATTTGATCAATTTTTGGTCATTTTGTGTATAGGTTTTTTATATTTTTGGGGAAACTTTGGGGGCTCGTTGCTGGAACAGCAATCACACGCTCAATTCATAGAAATGGGCCATGAACATGGATACAATGTAGCAATTTAAGGTAAAATTCTTGAACAAAAGATGGTCAGAATTTTGCTATTTTTCTTCTTCGAAGTTTTTGACCAAAAAGGTATTTTTTTAATGGGAATAACAGTGGTAGACCGGGTAGAGGGCTGGTCACCGATAATGGCCCGATAAACACAGCAAATACAACAAATAATAACAAAATAACAAACACAACAAATAATAAAGTTTGTTCGTTATGTATAAGATGTATTTTAGTGAGCCAAAACCATATTTTCTTTGCCCGAACCTACATTGTATCCCCATCAAGTATCCACATTAGACTAAAATTCATGGTCACATGACCAACTACATGTACAATGAATGCTTGAAGTCCAATATTGCTGCAATCTGCACCAAAAGCTGCTTACCCCGGTACGTGTACATTAATTTGCACAATTTTGTTTAGTTTTGGATACTTTTTGTACATTACTTGCATGAAAAATGCAAAGCATCTATAAATTTGAAAGTATTTGATAACATTACCATTTGTTCTCTACCGGTATCTGTGCTGATTTTGGTTGAAAAGATTCAAATTTTGGAACAACTCAACACAAAAAAAATTTGCCCTCAAATTAATATAGCGCCCTCTAGCGGTGATTTTGGATGCCAAGGTTAATTACTTTTTTATATCAGTTGCTATGGTAACCATGACATTTACTAACTGAAATTGATATTTTGCATTACCTGCCAATGTACAGTGTAGGTAAATGTATAGGTATGGTACATGTACATCTACCACATTGTCCTCCCACTATAATGGACTTGATGTACATGTACCAAAGGGCAAATCTGAGATAGCCCCATAGCCAAAAATCCTATTGAAGGTAATGTACATGTATGTACATGTACTTTCTAACAATGTGCCACATTTCACGCTTTTATCATCAAATGCACAATTTATTCACACATCTGCTGTTCTACATGAACGCGGTTGGTTTTTGGTTAATTGAAAAGCAAGTCAAGAAATGCATTGTAATTAACAGTAATTAAGCTTTGAATCAACTTAAATCTACTGATGAGAATGTACCGGTAATTTGTGCAAAATTAAGATACATGTAATTCATTTTGAAATTTCAAAATCAAATTGTAATAACCCTCAGAAAATACAAAAAACCAAGCCATGAATATTGATTGATTAACACATAACTCGGAATATGAAAATGTTAACAAATTTATGTAAACATCAAAACTAAACGGCTTACATATAACAAATATGTAATTGCAACTGCATGCACTGGCCAAGGAGTATACTATTGTGTAGATATTTCATAATGCAATGAAATTGCATTCATATTTAATAGGTAGAGGAAGAAGCAACTGCGATTGATTGCTATACAGAATGTAAGCAATACAGGAAGTACTATAGACCAAGTGCTTTGTAGCAGCCAAGCAGGAAGCTGTTGCCAAGCTATTCCAGTCAATGGACAGTTTCCTTTCCTATGGAATACATAATGTGCAGTGTACGTGTACTATCTACATGTACCGGGTATGTCCATTCCAAATACTGTGTACCTCAGCCCTTTAACGTACGGACACTTTACATCAATTACCTTGATAAATCATATTAAAATTGTAGGATACAGGACTGTTAGGGTGGTACTCCTCCTAAAAAGCATTTGAGGGCAATTCCATGGCAACTCACGCTACATTTGGAGAGGGTACTCTTCGCTCAACTACATGTTTGTGCTGTTATTCTAAAAAGTCAAAGCATTTAGGGTGGATTTTTTTTTCACAAGTCATTTGAAATTAAATGATTAAACCCACAAAAAAGGGCAATATTTTTATTATACAATTCTGTTGGTTTGGGAATAACTTTTTATCTGGGACTCACATTACACAAAAAGGACAAAGAAAAAAATTAAATGCCTTTCATTTGAAAGTTTTCCATTAGGTAATAAGTCATATTCTATCATTACTATTATTTTAAAAAAATTATTCATGAAATCTGTAGAGGGATACATTACGGTAACTCACGTTACAGTTTGTTCACCCATCTTTGGTACAAGTTTCAACATTTAAGAAACTATCAAACAACAAACTCTTTTGACAATACCCTTGAAAATAGCCATGAAACCTTTTCTCTTAATTTAAAACAAAAACACACGATAAGACTTGCATTTAACACAAGGTGCCAAAATGAGTACCTAAAATTAAAAAAAAACTTAGGTAAAATACCAGGTTTTTTACCCCCCCCCTAAAAAAAACCCACTTGACCATCCATCTCATTGGCACATTATTCAAATGAAAGATCTTGTCACATTAATTTGATACCACATCTGAGGCTGTGAAGCTTGTTATTTTGAAGAGTTCATTAATTTTTTCATATTCAGCCAAGTTTCATGGAATTGCCCTTGATACAAAGCTCAACAAATATTAAAAATTGCTACAGAAATGTTTTTCTGTACTTGGTGAAAGTTTATCTCAAGCAAGTTCTAAATGAACAAGACATGTTTATATTAGCTAAAAATATAATAACAGCGTTGCTGTTGAAACCCCTCAGCCAGAGTCAAGTTATCATCCGGAAACCATTAACCTTTAACTCAACATGGTGACCTTGACCTTTGACCTTTTGACCTCAAAACCTATCCCAACTTGCCTACTCCTAAGGGCAACCCCCTACCAAAGTTACAATCCCAAACAACATTTCTAACTGAAGTTATCATCCGGAAACTACATACGACATACAGACATAAAAATGGACACCGTAGGCGATGACAATACCCCTCGAGCCTCTCGGCTGAGGGGTAAAAATGGAATTTTTAAAATGAACTTTTGCTTCACCATACATGTACCAACAAATAAGATGCAAGTATAACAGACGATAAGAGTCTGCCAATAACAATGAATCTAATCTTCATGTAGATTGTAGATGTAACACCATAGCTACTTTTGAGAGATGCCTAACATGCACAAAAAGTCTCGTTTCAAAATGAGCTCTTCATAATTTGTTATTCCCATACATTGACTTTATTGTACATGTGTAAAAGGGCAAATTCTGTGGAATGACGTATTTTTCGCGCGCTGAATTTAGTCGGCCACGTCATTTCTCCTGTGCCTTCATCAGCATTTTCACGTTCATCTAGCCCAATTAAACTCCTCACAAAATCGATCAAATCTGCCATGTTTCTAACTAGTAAAGTAGCGAAACTGCAGCAGCTGGACGAGATTGAAAAAAGCGCTGCAGCTGAGCGTAGTGCATGCTACACACGCTGTGTACGGTACGATGATAATATCACACCGCCATCAGTGCAAACGAGACAGGGAACCATACTACCATTTTCGCGCGAATTCTGTGTATACAGGAAGTGTTGTTGTTTGCATAGCGTTTTACAGCGTGGACACGGTAGGTTTACAGCGCGGAGCGTTCCCATTGGACTTTTTAGCGGCCCTGTTAAGTTACCGTGGCTGCGCGGAAGTCTTCCGCGTCCTCTTTCGGCCTGTTAGTTTTACATCACGGTCGCGGTAAGTTGACAGGGACGTCAGTTTACCGTGTGTCCCCATTGGATTTAATTTTGTCATTCTACAGAAAAGTTGCGGTACTTTAACCAAAAAAAGTCCAATGGGAACACGGCTTTAGTTCAAGGGATGTGATAAGGTATGCGCGTTGATTCTCTGTGGAAATAAATCTAGAAGGCAGATCACTGAGTACAAGATGCCAAAATGACATAGAGCTATATTAAATTACTAGAGCGCTAACTCTTTATTCTTGCGCGCAGAGACGCTTTGAAGCCGCTCTGGGCGCAGACATTTTGAATTTATGTGCGTGTTTGTAGAACACAATCAAAATAGATGGATTGAATTTTAAAAGTGTACTCTAAATGCAACGCGCAAGTAGAAGATACGCAAACAACTTAA